GAAGACAAGGTCGTCCGGGGTTATTAAACATGCCAAGTTATATGCTATAACTTATAATGCATATAACTTTTGGGCGTTCGAAAAACAAAATAAAACACCTTTTCCTATTTCTATTATAATTACGAGTCTAAGAGTAAATAATTGAATGCCGCAACTGATGTGATTGACTAAATAATGAGGGCAGATTTATGTTTATTATTAAATCGGATCAATGTATTTTCAACGCTGTTTCACACACGCCATCTACCATAAAAACAACAAAAGCCGAAATGACGTACGTACTATAAAATCAATGGCTCACGGGGCGTATACGCACCGGCCCACAGTGCATTGGCTGCACATGCTATGTAAGCAATGTTACAATTTAATTATTCCACTTTCGACTGAACAACCGAATTTCCAGTGCAACCTACGTTAGCTGTTAAATATTATGAAATATCTACAAATTTTACTTAATTTTACTTAATTTTTTTTTGTTTAATTTCTTGTATTTTAATTTGTTTTAACATTTTCCGACGCTTTCTAAGCAACTGGCAGGCAAGTAGCATTAACCTTTGCGTGCGTAATTACTGCTTTTTGAAGTTATTGCATTAAAACTCAAGTTAAAAATTCAAGTTAAAATAAAATTAAATTTCAAAAAGAGACTACTAAGTGGACACTTGTTATCAATTTTACAAGATTATGTAATTTCAAAAATTTTCTTCATTTCAAATCATTTAAATCATTTTTTTATGCGGAAGTTGAAATTTTCTGCTTCAGTTTTTACTCGGCGGCTAATAATGAGCTTCAGAGCGTTGTTAAGGCGGTATTTGAAGTGTGCCTAAAAATGCGCTAACCTCAGCTTGGGTTGGTTGACCATCAACGAGGCTCAAACTGACAATTCATTGTTTTGACTTGTGTTGGAACTGCCGAGTTAATCAGAAATCAGAAATCAGAGATCAGAGAAAAACTGTAGCCATCATCATGACTCTTTCAAAATAGATGAGGCGTTTAATTGGCTTCTCGTTACGTGGATTTCGTCGCTGACGTTGTAATTTTTATTTCTTCAATTTAAATCCTATTATTTGCTGATCGTACCATGCTATAATTAGGGAAGGGGAAATTATTTACAACTAAACATTTCTGGTTTTTGATGGGATGTGAACGTTTTAAGTTTTGCTGACAAAGTTATAACAAAAACAAGAAAAAATGTTGCTAAATCTTTTTACAAACAATAAAAGTAATTGCGAATAAATTACTATTTTCAATAAAATTTATTGCTAATTAGGAAATGCTATTTGCTCAGCACAGTATATGTCAGGTAGTAGAAGAGCATAACAATCTGATTTAACTTGCATCTAATTTTAATCTGTTTTAAGATCTGTTTTATCGGGAATGATTTTCATTGCAGTTTTTGTTGATGACCAACACTTAGGACATTAACTTTATCTCTCATACTAGTGTAGTTGAATATATAGTATAGTATAGTTGAAACTTTCAAATTTTTTGAACAAACAAAAATTTACTTTCATTGAAGTTTTTTATTTGTGATTAGTTCTCCATTAAAAATGACCAAAATATGTTTTTAGAAAGCTGATATTTAATTGAAATATTCATAATTTTAAACACTATGTGGATGGAGTTTAATTACTTCACTACATAAATTGCTATAACTTATTTTTGTGATTAGTAATATACTAAAAATTTGGTAATGAAAATTATTTATTTGTAATAAATAAAATTTTATTTTTTTCCTTCAAATTTAATTTATTTTTATTAAAGTGGTAATCCATCAAAGATACTAAAAATTTTTTATCACTACAAGTTATGATCTGTTTTGTAATTTTAGTTACCAATAGCTATTGCAGTATTTAGTAATAAAATAACAATCTTAATGTCTTAATATTCATATAGTCCTGTCTAGCCTTTTTACCATCGTATCTATTATAACTTTGTTAAGACTTCTGATGTGTTCACATGTACTGTTATATAATTATTATTTACATATATTTGAAAGTTTCATTAAAAAGCATATATGACTAATTTCATTTAACTTTTAAATATATAATTCTAAGAACACTTGTTCTTCTTCTTCTTTTTAGACTGCCTACTCATTTTGAGTATCAGTGGTCGCATTTATTAACAATAAGTTTATATTCAAGTAACTTTCAGTTTAAATTTTCAATATTACAATTTTTCTTTAATAATACTAATAGCTAATAATAAAAGGTAACATTTACGTTTTAGCATTTAACTACATTAAACTACAATCTATACAGCATCCAAAAAGCGTTTCACGATATGTTGTTTACTATTGCTGTGTAAAACTCTCTCGATCGCGCAGAGTGTATTAATTTACCAATAGTTCGAAGTCCTGTCCAGGTGCGGATATTCCTTAACCATGAGAGTTGTTTCCGCCCAACGCCTCTGCGACCTTCTATACGGCCTTGAAGTATAAGTTGCAATACTTCGTATTTGGGTGCACTTATTATGTGTCCAAAATATGCTACTTTCCTTTTTTTCATGGCGTTTAGCAGTTCTCTTTCTTGCTGCATTTTTTTGAACACTTCTTTATTCGTAACTCTATCAGTCTAAGGTATTTTTAATAGACTTGTAAAATTCGTAAAAAAGAAATCTATCGCCATTAGAACTGACCTCAAAATAGAACTGATCGCGGTCATCATAATATAAGTTGCCACAACATGCTCACTAAAAATGTCGTACCAAATTCGAATTATTAGTTTTGTTTTGAGTATATGGACAACACATATCTCATAGGACTGAGTATTTCGATTATGTTTGATCCCATATTTTTATACATTTTGCTTTATG